CAGAGTCTGTAAAGATGGCGCGCCAGGAGCACAAACGTAATATAGAACAATGGATACGTAATTTCAGACTTCACAATGCTTGATGACTGATTAATAAATAGTTTAAAGTTTAAGTCGGGTAATAAAGATAATTGAATTTCAACACTATGTTTTACTGCGTCCCCATCCTCCCAATCATTGTACATATGCTCGAGATGAATGACGGTTATTTGTTCAGAATCATATTGAAGAACGTTATCGAAAACACCTTATTAAAAAACTATCAGTTGAATTTAAAAAATCGTATACTGTGAACGTTTTATATTTTTAAAAAAGTTAACTTCCTGCAGCGTTCTATCTCCGAAACGGCAACGGCTGAACCGATTTTGAGGATAAGAGTAAGATGGCGATGACTGTTAAATTATAGGCTAGTTTTTTTAGTTCCACGCTGACGAAGTCGCTGGATTATCTATCAACGGTTTTTAAACCGTGATTTAAATCATGTTTATATATATGGCAGTCATGGAGATAATAAGAACTACGTACAACAGGAGTGTGTTCTTTCTGTACATCTTGCTGCTAAGATAAAGAAAATAAAACCTTATGCTAAGGGCGTAAGAGTCTTGTTGTACGTAAAAAGAAATTGAAACGAGTGAGAGGGCTACAAGTGTCCGATATTTCCCTTTCTAACTATTACCTAGAGTTGCCAGATATCAATCATTTCCTGATGGTGGGTTATATTTTTACAAGTGATAGTTTTAAACATAATTTGTTGGTCTAGAATTACGGTGACCATGCGTGACTTATGCATTTATTTCTTCCTTTCTCTATTAAAATAGCTATGTTTTAATTTTAGATTTAAGATATAAGGAATAAGCTAGGTTTGCTTCATATACTTCACAAGACTTTTATTTAGCAATGTCTGATTTAGAATTATGTATTGTTTTTAGTAAATACATTATTGATAACACTAATACGTTAATACCCATCTGAAGCAATAATCCGCAGACGTCAGACAACAAAAACAAGTTTTTTATAATAATCGTCCTTAAATAATATTTTAACATAGTCACCATCGCCAGAGAGGGATAAAACGGACAGTTATTGCGGTCTCGCTCGGCTTCAATTTTTCAACAAGAGCTCTATCCTGTTCTAGTAATTCATCCATGATGGTGGCTGTCAAGTCAACAATCAATGTCATTGTCAATGTTATGAAAACATCACAACATGAATAAAAACAATGGATGTGAAAATATTAAATGCTGTAGAATTATCGGATACCGATAATCAGAGTCCAATTTGTAAATATTGTCTTAACCCTGAAAACAAACAAGACAGTCCGGGGCTAAGATGTGAAACATGCAGCTGCTTCGTTCACCTAACCTGCCTGCGCCGGCAGGGAACGCCGGGCGATTTTGCATGCGATGTATTTTTTGAATTTGTTTGTGCTGAATGTTCAGGAAATAATGAAGAGATTTTTGAAAGAAAAAGATTTCAATGGTAAGATTTTAAATAATGAAAACCGCTGGTTAATTTTATTTAAAACATTGACGGTGATAAATTGGTTTTTTCAGGGTGAATGTATTGTTGCTGACACTTCATCATCTCAGCATACAGTCATATGGGATCAGTAACAATGGCTTCTTTCATTACAAAACACACATCTGCTCTTTCATTGATCGCAACTGGGTTCTACTCTTCGGAACACATTTGTAAGTAAACATAATAGTCAAATATACTTAAGAAAAACTAAAAGACCCCTGCTTTCCTTATATAGAACTGTTGACTCTGATTGTTATTTTTTTTCTCACTTCTAGCAAACAAAAAAAGAGTTGGGTGGGTACAATCGCAGGAGCTCTGTCGGTATACAATAATACCTTCTTCATGTCGGGTTCTGTAGCACTCGGAGAGACAGGCTGGTGGAAACTGTTACATTCCTTTTCACCAGCGGTTGCTGCACATATAAGTATGAAGATATACTATTATATTCTACAGCACTATGTTAAGCTTTATAAAAAAAACTATTTAGACAATAATAGAACATACTTACTAGATTAGAACTCTCTCATATCTATTTTATGTGTATAATTTTACCTTTTTGACCTATAAAGAAAATAAATTTTGTTAATATTTGAAATTGTGCTGAATAAATCATACTAATATTATAAATGCGAAAGTTTAGATGGATGGATGTTTGTTAGAGTTTGTAGCCTAAACCGCTGAATGGATCTCGATGAAATTTGACACATATGTAGAGGATAGTCTGGAAGAACATATAGGCTACTTGCTTTTGTTTTTTTTTTAATTTCACGCGAACGGAGACGCGGGCGAGAGCTAGTATATTATAAGTATGTTTGTATATTTTATAGATCTGGAGTTATCCAAAGAGAAAATCAAAGGACGTCCACGGAATTACTTGAATGTTGACAGAAGACTCTTTATTACCAAAGCAACTGAATTAGGTATTTAATACATGAATATATTGTTTATAATTTAAAAATATATAGCTTCGTAATACTAAAGACAAAATAGAAACCACTTAAACATATTAGTTAAATCTTGTTTACATAAACCAGTCTAGTAATCCAGTGCTTGTTACTGCACCTTATTTACACTCTTTAAAGGCACTATTACCTTACCTGATTTTATTTGCTTTTAGGTTATAAACATTTAATAAAGCAGTTATGTGAGCCGCCTCCATTTAAAAAGATGCGACTGGACTCTGGCAGTGAGCCTTCCACCAGCCATGACTTCGCCTACGATTTCAAGTAATGTACTTATATAGTCTATTGATGGAAATGTGAAATAACAAACATCTTTAAACTATTTTTAAAACTACTATAAGACTTTAAAAATAGATATGTTTGTTTGTATAATTAATTTAAACACTGACAGCCTTACAAATAAACACAGTATAAAGTTAAATGTAGGGATAAACTGGGTATTAGCAAAATTTTTACTATAGTACAATAGTACTGTAGTATGTACTATATTCTATATGTACTATAGTACAAATAGTACAATATAATAAAGTTGAACTATAGTTTATTTGTAAGGCTATGAAACTTTAAAAATAAATCCATAGACAATACTGTCCAGTGAAAAGTGTGTAAACCAAATTTCTAATTTCCATTGAATTCAAATAAATATACATTACAACTTATTGTGACAGTTCTTAGTGCATAAAACACTATGTATACTTCAAATGTATTTGATTCTAGTTATTGGTATTGAAAAGTTTCTTTACATCTTACTAATATAAATGTAAAAGTTTAGATGTATGGATGTTAGCTATCAGAAATACAGGCTATTTTATAAATTCCACGGTTATAAAGTTGTAGTCGAAATCTACATTTAAACTATATAAAAAATCAATTTACTAAGAAGTCATGTCTAGTAGGGAGGAAGTTGTTGAAGATGTGACCATCGAGGGACAGGAGGTCTACCTCAATTCGGAAGATTACCTGGCCTACCCCTACGACCCTGTGAAATATACACAAATTAACCAGGTATTATATGTAACTAGCTGTTCCCATACGACTTCATACTCATAAAATTATAAAAATTTCATTTTATTGTTCACATTTGTCAAATTATCAATTGCAAATGCCAAAATGACATGACATGACAAACCTTCGCAATCTTGCTTTCTTGATGTTGGCAGCAACTTATGGTCTCTTTCTCACATTAGGGTTTTTATCTAAAATATTTACCCCATAGTTTAACAGCGTGAAAATATATAGCCTAAAGCGTGATGTAAGTGTAGGACTTTTTATTAAAAAAAAGAGTTATTCGAAAGTATGCCGTGATTGCTGACATCTTAGGTAACAAAGAAGTGTGTGTTTACGCTTTATTATAATAGTATAGATTATCTATACTACTATAATAAAACAGACACACACTTTTGTTATGTAAGATGTTAGTAATTGCAGCATACACTTACCACACGTTATAGGATATATCTTTCCATGCTATTGAATATAGGGGTGAATAAATTCGAAATTGTAATGCAAGAAAGGGACAAAAACTAGAAGCCAAGCAAAGAAGCAAGATTGCTACTGTAACGGTAATTGTTAACCAATAGTAAGGGCTTTCATAGTTATTTGATTATTTGAATTTTCACATTTAAAGTCTTACAGAATATGAACAATATTTTTTTTATAATCTCTCAATGAATAGTTAAAACTATTCATAACTACATCAACCTACGAAGCCTAATACCTCAGTCTGTATTGTTCCTGGTCTCGATTGTAACACAACGGAATTATTAGATGTTTATACAGCTGACTGTTCCAGAGCGATACTTCAAGTATCCACTCTCTGCAGCAGTCGGTGCAATACGACTCCGACTCTCGCAGCTCCCCCCACCGCGAGCCCCCCACCTCCGACGAGGACAAGCGCACAGACAAGAAACACGACAAGACTAAAAAACAAGAAGAAACACCAATCGCGAGAGAATCTCTCTTCTCCACACAACTTAACTCTATAGAACTCCCGTGGTTGGAGCCGGATCCACCTCCAGCTCCTGATCTGGTGGAACTCTCGGAGTACGAGGAGATCCAACTGCTGAAGCGAGTGGAGAATCTCATCCTGAAGGTGAAGGATCCCAATAAGAAAGCCTATCTCCACAGGTTCAGAGCGAAGCTGGCTCTTAGAAGATTGAAGAGACATAAACATCTGCCTATATTTGATTTAGATAAGTATGTTTTTGTATTTATTTTTTAAATTTTATCTGTACTAATATTATAAAGATTTGTATTTTTGTATGTATTGAAATGACTCAAAAACTACTGTGCTGATTTCAAAAATTCTTGCACCATTAAAAAGTTTCGTGGGTAAGTAAGTACCATCTTACTTCTTACTAATTTTTAAAAAATTGTAAACGCGAAAGTTTAGATGGATGGATATTCGTTAGAGTTAGTAGCCTAAACTGCTGAACGGATCTTGATGAAATTTGACATAGATGTAGAGGACAGTCAAGAAGAACACATAGGCTACTTGCTTTTTTGAATTCCACGCGGACGGAGTCGCGGGCGAAAGCTAGTAGGCTACATTTTTAAAACTAGATTATAAATATAATATGGTTTTGTATGCGTTGTGCAGGACGGCGCGCGTGTTGCGCGGCTACATAGCGGACGATCCAAAAGTTTTAATGAACGCTGAGAGAATTCTAGACCGCTTCCAG